GATTTTTTAAAGATTGGTGATGGGATGATTTGTCAGGCGTCCCTCAGGGCTGGGACAGTGTGTGTGGCTTTAAGTGACTCACTAACTGATCCATGCTGCAGCAGAAGTGAGTCCTCTCCACTCAGCACAGTGTGTCGTTGACTCGGAGTGCCTTCAGATGAGTGTGAGGGAAAGTTACTTAGTGAGCGGACCATTAGGGTCCATTACCCACCTTCTTTCTGGAGTGCCTGAAAGTGGCCTTTCTGAGAATGCACTGTGTTCCTCTTTGTTCCTTGAATACATCACTTTCAACAAGGGGTTTAGTCTCATGTACAGGGCTAAAAAATGTGTGAAATAGGATATACAGTATATATAGTCTCATCAGATCCAATTTATTTATATTGAGCAGTATTTTCTTTGTGTAAAGGACTTTTTAAGGACCTTTCAATGACAGGTGCTGCATAGAAAGTGGTGAAAATAAGTCACTCAGTCGGCTTTGTTTTCAGTTGAACATTTTAATGCTTTTTCACCTGCTTTAACTCAAAGGAAAGTATTATGTAAGGCATATGGAACCTAAAGTTGTCCAAGAACAAACCACCTTTAACCATGACCTCTCCTTGATTCAGCCTTTTTCTTAAATCTATTTATATATTTTTGTAATATTGTATTATAATATTTATGTCATCTATATATACTGTTATTTTTTTCAGCTTCCCAGCGAAAACATTTCAGTGACTTGTATAATCGTGGGAAAAATGCTTGTAGTTTTGAAAGAGATTAACAGCAAAGTGTATAGTACATAGTTGTATAAATATAACTCCTACAAGTTTGAATCAGACAAATCCTCAGATTATCCAGCTTTACACTAGCTGTGCACTAATGTCTTCTGGGTATATTTTTTCCCATCAGCACGCTAAAGGTTGTTAAGACATTCGCTTCTATCTTACATGCGCTTTGTAAGTCTATTGAAATGCAACACGGAGAACTAAACGGTACATTTGTTGAAACTAAATGACACGGTTAATAGGATGTGCGGCTCATTGGTAAAATTGAAAATTAAATTCCATCAGGGCGATGTGCCGGAGCTTTGTGCTTCTTCCCCAGACAACTGTGGTGCTCCAAGCCTCCTCCGTTATAGAGGGGCAGGGCCTAGAGGTCAAAGTTCACCTCTCTATTGAGCCATCAGATGGGAGGTGGGGAGAGGGGCGTGTCTCCAGCCCATTGAACAGGCCTGAGTCTTTGACAGCCAAAGCCAATGCTGTTGTATGCTGCCACATATGCTGCAAGGGATTTTATTGTGTTCATGCTAAACTGCGGCGGGACAAAGCGGGACAAAAGTTGACAATGTAATTATTGTGTATCTTCTAACCCAGCGCTTAAATGATTTTCCAAACCCCATTTTGACAGGTTTCCAAGGCAGGCCTCTTTAACTGGCTTCATACTGTTACTTTTTAAGACTTTAAGCACTTTAAATCCTTGTTTTACCGTGCCAGGTTTGAACACAGCCTTGATTGTGAGTCTCTGTAGGCCGCGCAGGAATTGCTACACTTTGCAAGATTATTTTTGGACCCTTTTTTAAATGATATCACTTCCATCGTCATTCACCTTTCTCCCCTGTCGTTTTACCCAAATACACTAGAGTTATCAAAAGACAGATTATCTTGTTTATTTGGTTTTCTCATTTTACTGTCTTCTCATCTTTGTTGATGCAATGCCAGGTAGAGCCAACCCCATGTCAATAGACCCACAAACTTTACCAGCGTTAATAGCCAGCCCCTAGGGTCTCTTCTATCTATTTCCTCTTTCTCCATAGGTCAAATTAGACGGTAGCGCAGATCCGGGCCGCTGCTCCGCTCTGACACGGTCATAAATTCTGGTAACTGGTTCTGACAGGGCTATTTTGCGAGGTGAAGACGGAGGGTTTGGACTATAAAGAGAGCAGAGCTTCCTGTGTTTTCCCAGACAATGCTACACTGCAAAAAATAAAATGTCTGCATGCTTATGAACCATTTAAGCTGGCAGTCGAGTTGTGAATTATTTTTATGATTAACATAAATGAAATAATCTGCCAATAGGGTGAGCTAACTTCTCTGGCAGCTTCTGTAAGGCAAGAGCAAATCTTAAAAGAAGCGGATAAATGCATTTGTTTCAAGATATATCATGCATCATAAATCAATGCAAATCCAAATCTGCTCCCTGTTCCTTTCTCCTCTGAGCAAATACTTTTTGCAGTATCAAACTCCCCTGTCCATTCCCATGGCTTGTGCCCTTCTGTAGGTTCACAGCCAAAGCCCTAAAACCCTTAAAGCCTCGTATGACTCTAACGTAAGCTCCTTAATAATGTAATTCTGTTTGGAATCTGGCATGATTGGATGGGATAGGATTATCACGTTCGGGGACTAATGCTGCAGGTTCAACAGGGGTTAGCCAATGTAACATGGTCATTAAAGCAAGTGGCATGTATGCAGAAAATTATTAAATGTGTCAGGGGAAAGACAGAGGGGAATATGATTGGAAATGTCACTCAAAGTTAATAACTACTACACATGTGATTCCATTTGGGTGAATGTGCAGTGGAGGAATACCTTTCTCTAGTGGTTATCAACACTTTGAGCAGCTGTGATAGTGGAGGCAGTAATAGTCCAAATTGAAAAGAAAGACAGGACAATGAAACGTTGCTGAAAGTGGGCACTGTTCCCGTGTGTGACAGACATAATAATGGCTTATGATTACAACTTTTTATATAAAGTTGAGTTTTGTTGTTTTCTCTATTAAACCTTGCTTTAAGATAAGTTAACAACAAGTCTAAGACAAAAAGCATCACAAAAGTGCTTATTACTTTTGGCTGGTATGCAAATTGTAACAACTGTTAATATAAAAAAAAACAGCAATAAAGTGTGCCCGGATACATTTTGAAGCTCTAGTTTGGGGACTTTCCTGTTGCAGATTTGTTTTAAGTGTTAAATACTCCTCTGCAGATTGTATTAGAAATACATTGAGCTAAAACAGGCTGTGACACTATGAGTAGCAACAAAGAAGATTTATTTCCTGACAGCTACCATAGTCATAAGAAGTTTAATTTAAATCAGAATCTGCACAGTTAGTACAGCTGTCAGAAGAATTTGGATAGGCCAGCACCTCAGAAGAAGTGAATGTACTTTCCCTTCTTTAAGTTGTCAGTGAATGAGGTTTTGTTATGATATGGAGGCCTAAATAAACCATAACTCTGATCACAGTCTCTCTCTGTTTCTGTTGGTGGTCTTGGCCTCTAAAGAGCATCGACTTCAGCTCGTATTTTACCACCTTCTTCCCTCCTCATACGTCGCCTCTTTTCTCACCTCCCCCCCCCTCTCCTCGGGCTCAGCGACCGCAGCATAAGGCGTCACTCATCTGCTCATGAGAGCCGCCATTGACTTCAGTTTGACTCCCCGGCTCTGAGAGGGGTAGACTGGGTGGAGCCAGCCGCTCTCAAAAACCATTTGCCAGCGTGGAGCGGGCTGCCTGCTCAACGTTACCATGCAACTGCAGAAAGCACACACAGGCATAATATTTACACTGTTACACTATTTTCCGCATGTGCCTCCAAGAGAGAGTTAAGGAGTGTGTACTGTAAGACAGAGGGAGAAAAAGAAGGAGGAGGAGGGGACGTAACCTACAAATATATACGTTCTGTGAATGGCTGGCCTCCTACCTAAACGCGTGGGGTTAAACGTTTGTGAAAACACTCTGCGTCGGCACATTTTCCTACGCAGGTGATGTTAAGTGTTCCACCCTGAAAAGCCTCTTTGTTGACATCACTCACTCCCGTCTTTAGTCATTCTGACCTCTTTCGGAGGAGTTCACTCCACGCTTGTCTCGCAGCAGTGAGCGTCTGCATGTTTCCACTCACGCCGTGGAGGTCGGCCCGTGGAGACTCTGCCAGCGATGCGTAGCAGGTTCTGTGTTCTCGCTGTGCTGTGCTGCTCACTCTCTGCCTCTGAGCAGCTTCTGAATCTGTCAAGTTATTATCTGTCTGTTTCTGCTGCCACACCTGCTTTCAATTACTACACAAAATGTACCCTTCGACTCTCCGGGAGAGGATTGCTCTTGACTGGCACAGTGGTACCAATTTTAGAGGTGCAGAAGAAGAAAGAAAAGGCTGCCTGCCATCGCTGCAGGGAGAGATGAAAATGATTTCAAGAGACTTTCTGAGCTGTTTTTCATCAACATAATCCCATAGGAGTATTTTTATATGAATTAGTTTAAATCAAATATTTGGCATTCTTTTTTAAGGCTCCTGTCCATCTTTGTTTACAGCGTGTTGAGCAATCTTTCATCTTATTACTGAATAGATCACATTTCTTCAGTGTAAAATGTAAAATCTGATCCAGAGTGGACTTTCCTCTCCACACTGAATCCTTTTGATCTCAGTTGTCTGTGGGCACACCAAGATGTTTCCCCATCAAGACGTTGTCCATGTCAAAAAGAAATGTCTGCTCATCATGTCTATCCTGCGTCAACCAGTACACAATTATTACAGAGAGTTGAAGTTGTTATACTGGGTTTTTTGTGTGGAAAGAGTTGCTTATATTTCAGCTTCATCTTGTGAATTAGTGTATAGTATTGATGTGGATCTGCTAAGTGTATCTTGGTTGCATATTTCCTAATCTTCCAAACTGCTCCCGTGTTTCTGACTTATTCTATATATTTTTTACAGTTTATTTTTACATTACGTACTCTATAGATTGATATCTTTCTAGCTTCTTTAATGTTTTTTATTCATGTGCAATGTATTTTGTACATGCTGCTGTAACACAGAAAAATCCCAATTTTGGATAAATAAAGTACATCTAATCTTATTAATAACCTTGACCTGATACTGCATGTTATCATAGATGGAATAATAAGCAGTCTTCTCTCAGTCCGGACACACTAAGCTCACCCTGAGATTTATTGAAAAAAGAGCTCCGTGTCCTCACACATCAATCTGTGTTATGACAACAAATCCTGACATCTCCCCTCCTCTCTGTCCCCCCCCCCAGCTGAGACACCAGCAGTGGAGTCTGGTGATGGAGAGCGCCGTGCCGTCAGACCGGGGAAACTACACCTGTGTGGTGCAGAACAAGTACGGCGCCATCACCCACACCTACCAACTGGATGTGCTCGGTAAACAGCCCTCACTCATTTACTCTGCTTCTGTAAACAAGGAATACATTAAAATGCGCTAAAAACACACCAGAGAGAAGTTTCTACAGCATAATGACTCCGTGCTTTCTCCGACAGAGCGCTCCCCCCACAGACCCATCCTGCAGGCCGGCCTCCCAGCCAATCAGTCGGTGGTGGTGGGCAGCGACGTGGAGTTTCACTGTAAGGTATACAGCGACGCCCAGCCGCACATCCAGTGGCTCAAACACATGGAGGTCAACGGCAGCCGCTACGGCGCCGACGGCGTTCCCTACGTCAACATCCTGAAGGTGGGTCTGCGGCACACACCTCTAATGATCACCGGCCGGGAGCACAGCAGCACTTTAGGATAATTTCACTCATAATGAATCCCTCCTAAATGTCTCGTGTATTGAGTTCTACAGTAGGAGGGTCTGCAGGGCCCGCAGGCTCTTTTCACTGCAGCGTATAATTGAAGAGCTCATTCCTGCAACACCTTCATTATGGGAAGGAAAAGCTTCACCTGCACTTACTGCAGCATATAGAGAAAACGTTCACTCATTAACCAAAAAACATGACCGTAAATCACACTACAGATTTTCTGATCGTGGCACCTGCACTGCTTCAGTTTTGACAGGAGATCCTGCATTTTAACACCTAATTGTAGCACTGTCCTGAATAATGTAGGCAACTCCTTTATGTAGATTAAATTAAATTCATTAAAGCTGGAATTTGTTCTTTTGATTTCCATAGCAGGACCACAACAGAATTACCAACATGATAAATGTCAATAATTTTATATATTTACATTTCTTAAAAATGTATTTCATCAGATATGTGTTACGTTAAAAGTCCTGAACTTTACTTATTGGATTTAAAAACAAATAATAGGAGAAACAAAAACATAAACAGCTTTATTTCGATTTTCTGCAAGATTAGCCAAAGGGCAAACGAAAAAATTTCAGAAGACAAAACAAACAAAAGCGAACATTTATGATATAGGAGCACCCTTAAAAAAGCCTTCATCCACGTTAAAGGTCACATTTTTAGGCTAGACCTGCTTCAATCAACTTCGATTGATTGGTGTTGTTGATTGAACCCAATGTGTTCACTTTTTCCTAGAATGAACTCTTCAATTATACATACACAAGTTTGCGAAAGAGTTTGTCTATCTGACCTTTATCTATATATTGATTTTGCATTAATCTGATAAGTGTTTTTGGGTAAACTTTTCAGATGTTTTGTCATACATGTTTTGTTTGTCTGCAGCCTCTAAGGTTGTCCTGGAGCTGTATCTTGTTGCTCTTTTAAAAGGCATTTCTCAATCCCAAGCACTCCCTTGTGAAATAAAGGTTAAATAAACACAGTGGGGAAGGCGTCAGATAGACTTAGGAGGGTTTGCTCCTGCTAAAGAGAAACTGCTGGAGGTCTCATCACCTCTTCAGGCTGTGTTGGTGTTCAAGAATAGAGTAGAAAGCATTCCTCACCGAGGAGGACACCACCCTAAACCCACTGCGAGGCGTGTTTTTATTTTATTTGGGGTGAACAGAGGAAGACTCCCATCGAAAAAAAAAGGCCTTTTGCTTTCTTATTTTGCGTCTCCCTTCTTCTTATTTTTTGCCTCTCAAGAGAGCGAGGGAATAAAACAAACATCTGGTTTGGACTAAGTTAACTGCCGTGGTGGCGGCAACACAGGGAGAGAGACGGGTTCTGTTAACCGGCGCTGCCGTCAGATGTGCTGCGTCGCGTGGTTTGAGGAGGAGGAGGAGGAGAGAGGGAAGAGGCACCCAAAAAAGCCATGGAAAAAATGAGTGAAGGAATACAAGGAAGGGCAAAGTCAGCAGGGAGAGGGAATGTGGGACAGAGCGGTGGGTAAAGATGGAGAGGCAGAGACAGAAGGAATGAGAGAGAAATAAGAAGGGATGAAATAGAAACACGAGCAGGGAGAAAGAGACAGAAAAATAACAAAAGGAGCGAAGCAGGAGACATGAAATCAATAACATAACATCTATTCCTAAAAGATGGATTGAGCTTTCAAGCAGAGGTTTACTTTATTCAGCAGTGACTTGAAGCGAGTTAAAAAATAATGATATCAAGGTAGAATAGAGTACTCAGTTATACACCTGGCTGCATCAATGATGGATTATTTTGCTGTTGAAGCCTTAATTAATAACCTTCAGGCGCACGAGGAACGCTCATCGCCCCAGCAGATCCTGGTTTCATAATCTGCTTCAGAAAATCATTTACTAGAAAGAATATAAAATATATTTATAATGTGAACGGTTGGCACCAAAGTAGAAGGTTATTTCCCGCGTTGCAAGTGAAAATAATCAAGGAAAACACATTAAACATGACGTTTGAGGAACCACCTCAACTCTAAGGAACAGTTTGAAATATGCTTAATCAAGTGTATTGCCATGGTAGCCGACAGTCAGTTAGCTTAGCATAGCATAGCAACTGAAAAAATCTAAAGGTAAAAGAAATACCAGCACCTCTAAAGCACACTAATTAAATGTTTAACTTTTCCTTTAATAGGCTCTTATTCATGGTATTTAGCTAAATAAAACTACCAGAATGAGCTATTAAACACTTAAATTAAAGTAAATATCATTTTGATAAAGCTTCTAAGTAAAAATGTGATCAGGACGTCATCAGCCTTGTTGGCAGTGTTATTCAAATGTTTTCTAGATCAGATTACCGTCGCGACTTTAAAAAAAAAAAAAGTGACTCAAACAAGAGCGAAATGAGGGAGGAGAGACGGGGAGAAAGAGGAGGAGGGAGACAGGCCGAGAGAAAGAGGGGGGGAAAGCAAGCCTAGACCGCGGCTCCACGCTCTATTTTCGACTACCACATAATTGAAACAGTATTTACTGAGATCTGTGTGTGCCTCTCTCTCTACACTCTCACCACATTTCATTCAGACTCTCAGCGACATCTCATGTGTGGCATACACCGTATAACTTAAATACAGCTGGGGGTGGGAGGAGGGGGTCATGCGTGATTTTATTTTTTTGAGAAATGCCTGAATCGCTCTTTTGATGCCTGGAAAAAGAGTTAACGATGAGCGGCTCGGCCCAGCGTGGGGAGGGGAGAGGGAGGGCGTCTGGAGCCGAGCCCTGGATGTTCATTAAGCAACCATAAAACATGATATGTTTTCTCCTTTATGTGCTTAGCCCGTTTAATTATTCATCTGCAGTTTCTCTACCGGAGCGCCTGTCACGAGCAATGTGTGTGTGAGCAAGTCTAAGTGTGTGTTAAGGAACGTAGCGCACACGTTTCGGTAAGATTGACATACTGTAATGCCTTTAATCTCCAAATAGATAGTTAGACGTTGTGTATGTGTTTCATGCTTTTAAGCTCGCGAACTGGCACCGTGTGTGTGTATATGTGTGTGTGTTTTCTCCAGGTTTGCATCTATGTTCTCTACATGCGTTCTTGCAGGAATTTGCTGTAAAGGCCTCACCGTGCCTCTACATTTTCCCTTTACAGAGTTTTGACAGTAGACAAACTGAGGCCCACAGTAAGTTGAAACTGTCCAACGTGACAGAGAGAAATGCCGGGAAGTACTGGTGTCGCGCCTCAAACTTTGTAGGCAGGTCGGAAAATGCTTTCTGGCTCATGGTGCACAAACCAGGTAAATCCTGAGCTCCGAAGGACTGCCACCTCAGCACATTTGATGCTATGCTGTGTTTCCTCTCTGCGGGGCTCTTCTCGGTTGTGGGTTTGATAGACTTACTGGCTTGCTAATAGGACAACACACACACACACACACACACACACACACACACACACACACGCACATTACCCTGCTAGGATTTGAGTGTATATGCTCACATTGTGTTAGTTAGTATCCCTTTTAACATCCAGTGGCAATTTTTCTTCTTCCCTGATCAATAAAAAAACACACCTTTTTTTTAATCACTGCGACAAAAAAACAAAACAGATCTACACACACTTGAGCTAACTGACACACACACTATTTCCTCTGCTAGGAATTAAGTTTATATTCTCCCGTTCTGTTAGTTAGTAGCTCCGATCCATTTTAACATCCAGTGCCACTTTGTCTTCCTCCCCGATCAATAACAAACACAGAAAAAAAAGTCTCCCGCTCTCCGGCCCACCACTTTTACACACACATGCATATATAAAACCCCATGTAAAAAAAAAAACTCGACAACCAAACACACAGTGGTATTGATTTCACTGAGAGTGCATTCTCCAGTTGTATTAATGTGCCCTTATATGAGAGCATGCAGCAGGACTCTGATTCATGACTGGGTCTGGATGTCACTGTTCATTACTGAGGCCTTGGGAGTAAGAGACCCCCACCACCAAACCCCCTACAAAGCCAAATCAGACACTGGTTTGAAACTCCCCCACTGGTCATCACACTAACCATTAGTCAAAGGGAAAAGCCACAACAGCAGGGACTTCATTTTAGAGTAATTTCAAGGTTATTTATAATTGACCATACAACTTTCAGGTTGTGTGTGGATTTAGATTAAACCAGCAGGCTTTTTTCGCAGCTTGGTGACGGTGCAGCTTGGGTGTTTTTCAGGTGTTGGTGTCAGCAGAAGAAAAGCAGCACTGCCTTCAAATCCGCACTTCTGTCCTTTCCTGCAGGGTGTATTTGGTGTTTCCTCTAAGAAGCTTTGGGCTCATGATATCTCTTCTCTTTCTTTCTTCTCTCCCTCCTTCTTTTTACCCCCTCTGATCCTCCACAGACGGCCGGTATTAACACTACAGATAAGGAGCTAGAGGTTCTCTTCTTGAGCAATGTGTCTTTTGAGGATGCGGGCGAGTACACTTGTCTGGCAGGGAACTCTATCGGCTATGCTTACCACTCTGCCTGGCTGACGGTGATTCCAGGTATATTCCTCTTCTCTCTGCGGGTCTTTTGTCGTCCATTTCTTCCACCTTAAATGTTTAAAAACTCGCTGAAATTGTGATTGCAACTGTACTTTTCTTTTGCTTTTCTCAGTAGCACAATCGTTCATTTTTGTATGTAATTATCGTACATTGTGAAAGATTGTTACTTGTTGGCGCACTTTAAAGGCACTAGAACTGTGTCATTGCCCCCTTTAATTGCATGAGCACAACATGCAATCTAGCCTCCATTGAAAGGAGCTTTTTAATCAGAGCAGATCATCTGTTTAATGTCTCAAGGCAACGGGGCAATTTAAAGACATTTTTGTTTTGTGAGGTGTTCAACACAGTAATTACCTCCCTGCGAAGAAGCATTTCACAGGTGCAATTACCTGCTGCAGAATGAAACTACAAGCTGACTGATCTGTTTCTGTTTGATTTATAGATCTTATTCATACAAAATAAATAATGTTGTGAAGTATGCTACTAAGCAAAGCAACATTTCTCTTCAATCAATAAGAAGTCATTTTTGCTAAGGTTAGATTTGGGAAAGGGTAACAATGAAAAGTTGTTAGCATTATTCAGTGCTTGTATTTTTTCTGACATCCCATGTTTCTGACCTCCTCCTGCCAAAGCAGTCAGCGCTGAAAAGGAGGACTACTACGCAGACATCCTCATCTACGTGACGGGCTGCGTGCTCTTCATCCTCGCCTTGGTCATCGTTGTGCTTTGCCGCATGAGGATGACGACACAGAAGACGCTGCCAACGCCACCCGTGCAGAAACTGTCAAAGTTCCCCCTTAAGAGACAGGTAACAGAAAGTAGATACAAGATTCGAACACACTTTCCCCCCTCTCTTTCTCTACCTGTCTGTTTAGTTTAGCTTTTAGCTTAACTTGTAATAACTTTGCTCCAATAAGATGAAATAATGAGCAAATTAGACCTTCTTCTCCCACAAAACATATTCCCTTAAAAATTCAAGACAGTGCAGGACCCCGTTTAACACTCACATTGCATCAGATGCTGTTTTCAGCAGCAAAATCAAGATGACTTTAATAGTCAGGGAAGGAGTAACATATTTAACCCAAGGAAGCACCATAGCTATGGAGAGTTGTGGAAATATAAAGTAATATTAGTTAGTATATCAATGCCACGTTGAGAAACCTGCAGAAGTGTCTTTTTGCCATTTCTGTCTTTGAAATCTCGGTAATTCTCCAAGAAGAATTGGGTGCCGCTCAGGACTCACACAAGCTCAGAGTATAAATCGAGAACGTTGTTGTGCGCCGATCTGACTCTCGCTGACCCGCTGGTTTGATGACGTTGTGCGGACGCTGGAAGGCATCACTCTGCTGACATGTGTTCACATTTATTTTGGAGCAGATTCAGCTCAGGGATATTTATGCCCTCGTGTGACTGTCAGTGTTAGTTTTAGATTTCACTTTAAATTTCACTTTGTAATGCACACTCGGCCCTCAACTGTTTGGCGAGAAACATCAAGTGGAGCAGCTGCATCGCCACAGACGGCAGAAGTCTTCACGGCATTGTCTCTCGGGAGGTCAGGATGAACCGCGATCAAATCCAAGTCCAAACAGAACTAGGACAAGATAAATCGGGGCCTGTTCAAGACCAAAATAGGAAATAAATGAAAGTCTTGAGGATTTTAGGAAATGTCCAACAAAGGCAAAGTGCTTTTTAAAAACTGGCTGGAGCTCCTTATCTGGCTCTCCACATTAATTAATAAACCTTCATCCTCATCTTGACCTCTATTCAATGCGCTTAACTCTCATCAAAGGACTTTCATCTGTGCCATTGATCGCTGTTTTATAGATTGGATTAAATATACTCTATTGATCCCAATTTGGGAAATTATTTTTGTCACAGCATTATCTAGACAAGTGTATTGCACTTGAATTGAAAATTACACTAAATAGAAAATAAACTATCTCTATTGAATCAGAATATTAAAACATGTTTTATTTGCAGGCCAGCCTACAACTAAGAAAATGTCAACGCTGTGTACTATTTACAATATTAGTTAGCAAAGTAATTACAGTTTTAAATTACATTTTAAACGCATACGGTACAGTGTGAAAACATAACGTCTTCAGGCAGTGCAGAGTGACTCTTATTCTTTGGGTTCTTGCAATCTTTGTGATCCTGAAAGTCATCTATCTTGCATTTGCACTGTGGATGCATATAACGAGTTTCTCCACCCTGCTGGAGTCTCTCAGTCACTGTGTGGTTGTTGTGTGTGAGCTCCAGCTTTCCAGCTCCATAATTGAAAGGTTGTGCTCCTCAAATGGCAAAAAGATGCATTTTTAGAAAGGAAAATAGTGCCTGAAAGTCATAACACAGTTCTTGGAAAACAAACACGGCGGTTAAAAGTCAGGATTTAGCTGGAAAGTTTAAAAATAATCCATATTTCTAATTATGCCTTCCATAACAGCAGGTTATAGTAGGTACTGTAAGACGCTCTAATTGTAACCTCTAAATCTTTCTGTTCCGCTACCTTTATATACATGCTCTTATAAGGTAGTGCATTGAAAGGCCTTATTGCATTTTTCTGTAATCTTTGCTTCGTTTTTGTAAAGCTAATCTCCCGGTTCTCTCCTTCCTTTTTCATAACTCTGAGTAAACCTCCCTTAAACCCCCTGGCATGTTCTATCAGATATTACTTTTCATGCCTCTGAAAACTGTGGTCGGCTGTTTTTTGTATAAGCTTCACAGCATTTTTCTCATTTTGCTCTGAGAAGTTTACGAAGGGGTCTGGTAAGTGGACATGTTTGTTTGAGGACCCCACCTGAAGCGGCCAAGCTGGCAGACACAAACAGATTCATCAAAAGTCCCCCCCCCCTCAACCCCCTCAGCAGTCAGATAAATGGTGGTGGGATGACAGGCCCGCGGGCTTGGCAGCAGTTTGGAAATGGCTCTGGCTGATGGATGGAGACGTCCACGCCACCTCACGCTCGCCCACCTCTGCTCCCTCCTTCATTCGTCTTTGTTTCCGCCTGCTTCCTCCTGCACTGCCACGGGCCGGCTGTTTGTAAAAGTCACCGCCAGTGTCAGAGGCTGTTTCTCAGAAAAACTCAGAGCTGCCGAATGAGCTCTGACTTTGGTCCTGAGATACGGGACGTTTGTCATTACCGAAAAATCATTCCATCTTAAAGTTACTCAATCATTAATGCAGTTTTTAAATGTGATTACTTGTTGAAGTTTAAATGGAGGTTAACTCTGGCCCGTTTCACATTAAAAAAAACGTTAATATTTTACTATTTAACATTTTTTGTTTTAGTTATTATTGCAATTTCTGGGGTTTTGGCCCCTTATAAAACCAATAAGACTTAAACAAAAAAGTGAAAAATGCACTGGCAATGGCATTAGATTAACTTTAAAATAAGTGTTTTTCATATACTTGTATTGAATAAGATAATCTTGGCATATTTATATAAAAACTGAGAATGTTGTTATACTTTGTGATCCAAAGACTTGATCCACTGAAATATTACCCATATTGATAAATATTTATATGTTTTTACCTTGTTAAAACTACTATCCAGTTTAAGATTTGATGCTAACTTAAACGTTCATATCAAGGTTATTATACTTTAATAAAATATTCAGTTTTGGCTCAGAGGTCATGTAAGGCTTCCTCTTTCCCCTCTGTCTGTTTGTTTTAACACACATCATCTCGTCCTGTTCAGAGTCTATAACAGTCTGTCTTTTGCACCCAAGCAGGTGTCCTTGGATTCTAACTCCTCCATGAACTCCAACACCCCGCTGGTGCGGATCGCCCGCCTCTCCTCCAGCGACGGACCGATGCTGGCCAACGTCTCGGAGCTGGAGCTGCCCTCCGACCCCAAATGGGAGTTTCCTCGCACACGGTAAGAAAAATGCTTCCACGGATCTACATTCATCACTGTTGTCAGAAAGAAAGAAACACGGTGCTTGCGTTGTGGCTTTTTTCACGCTGCCAAGCCACATATTTCACAGCTAACAGACACTGTGGAGTTGTCCTTGAAACATCATGCACTGTGAAAACATCTGAGCCGCATTTCATCAAGGTCAACACGACACCTTCCTCCTCGCTTATCCAGAAATAAACGAAAAATATGAGAAAACCCTCCACACTGCCAGCAGCAGAAATCAAAGCTCTAAGACTGTCTTTCTTGTGTTTCAGGCTGACTCTGGGCAAACCTCTGGGCGAGGGATGCTTCGGGCAGGTGGTGATGGCCGAGGCTATCGGCATCGACAAAGAGAAGCCCAACAAGCCGCTGGATGTTGCTGTGAAGATGCTGAAAGGTTAGTTAGTGAACCTCTCTGTTTTGATCTTTGTACACATATGAATTAGCTTTGTCTGGTCTCATAAGTCTGCTTAATTAAGGGATAATGTGCAGTTTCATTAATGACTGCATCGCTGCAAATTATCCTACTTATTACATGGTTAAATATTAAATTAACCATTGACTTGACTCATAATATTGATTTAAAAATAATTGTATTGATATCAAATAATTGTAAAAGCAACATGACTTAAAATGACGGCAGCACTGATTGAGGTTTTCTGTAACTGTCCAAATCTGTTCAAGTTTGCCTTTCCATTCACCAGTCTCTAAACACTGTCAGAGCCCATACTGTGTTATTGTTAGTGTTTACTTCCTGTCTGTCTTCTTCTTCTGTTCCTGTTAGTGTTTACTTCCTGTCTGTCTTCTTCTTCTGTTCCTGTTAGTGTTTACTTCCTGTATGTCTTCTTCTTCTGTTAGTGTTTACTTCCTGTCTGTCTTCTTCTTCTGTTCCTGTTAGTGTTTACTTCCTGTCTGTCTTCTTCTTCTGTTCCTGTTAGTGTTTACTTTCTGTCTGTCTTCTTCTTCTGTTCCTGTTAGTGTATACTTCCTGCCTGTCTTCTTCTTCTGTTCCTGTTAGTGTTTACTTCCTGCCTGTCTTCTTCTTCTGTTCCTGTTAGTGTTTACTTCCTGCCTGTCTTCTTCTTCTGTTCCTGTTAGTGTTTACTTCCTGTCTTCTTCTGTTGATTTCTGCGCTTCTTTGCTTTACTGGAAAAAACAATGAATGAACCGATGACAACAATGAATGACTTATTATCCTTTGTCCCTGTGGATAAAGTGCCTCATCATGGGTTCTTTATTCCTTTTCTGTTTTCCTCAGATGACGCCACGGATAAAGACTTGTCAGACCTGGTGTCGGAGATGGAGATGATGAAGATGATTGGAAAACACAAAAACATTATCAACCTGCTGGGAGCGTGCACACAGGACGGTGAGACCACAGCGCATTACAGAGGAGATAACTAACACAATATATGAAGTGCTGAAAGTGACCCTGTGCTCTGTGTTGCGTTCAGGGCCTCTGTACGTCCTGGTGGAGTACGCCTCTAAGGGCAACCTGAGGGAGTACCTGCGGGCGAGGCGGCCGCCGGGCATGGACTACTCCTTCGACACCTGTAAGATCCCCGACGAGCAGCTCACCTTCAAAGACCTCGTGTCCTGCGCCTACCAGGTGGCCCGAGGCATGGAGTACCTCGCCTCGCAGAAGGTCAGCCACCGTGACGCTGTGTTTTCTAATGCTGATAGAAAAATGCTGTTTCAGTGAGCTGAGTATCTGTGCCTGGAGGAATGCTAATCCTAAGAAAATACAGAAATTAGAAAGTTTTTTGGTGTCAATCAAAAAAACAATGTATATCTTACACTGCACTGTAACTTTCATATTTATTTTATACCTGTCTTAATCTATTTTAGCTTGTTATAAATTATTTGGTGTATGGTGTTAAATAAGAATGAGTAACAGGTATGGTTAGGGTTAGCCAAAAATGAGGTTTAGGGTTAGCTAAAATGAGAGGAAACATTTCTGAATCACAATGATTTAAACACTTTGAAGGTCGTAACCACGGTTATGAATTTTTTGTTTTAAAGTTCAGAGTTTCAAACAGGAGAAAATTACTGCGCAGATGCTTTAAAAAGAGGCAAAATGTCACAGTTTAAAGTTTCAAGGTTGTTGGTTAGGATGCTGTTTCAGTTGTCAGACAATGGTACACTCCTCCAATTGTAGGAGTGTGTCTGCGTCTGTGCAATTTGTTGTGTGTTTGATGCGTTTCTTCTTCCTCCCTCAGTGTATCCACAGAGACTTGGCAGCCAGAAACGTCCTTGTGACAGAGGACAACATTATGAAGATCGCCGACTTCGGTCTCGCCAGAGATGTGCACAATATAGACTACTACAAAAAGACCACGAACGTGAGTGTCATTCTTGAATACCTCTTTGTCAGAAAGAAAATAGAAATTGCTAATTATTTTAAGCTTTACCTTGCACAAAGAGAAGGGATTGTGAGATCAGGGATATTTTGCCTAGCAATACATATTCTATAGCTCTTACAATAAATAGTGTGTTTGATTTAATATTATTATGTTATAGAAAATGGATTGTCTATCAGAACTTCAATAACTTTAACAAACTTTTAGAGGAATTTATTCTCAATAAAAGGAAAATAAACAAACTTTTGATATATACATTTGATTTCCAAGCATGTAGAGGCCATAAGAGTTCAACTTACCAAGCTGGATGCGTCCAAAACTCTTATATTCTAAAAACTTTAAACCTTGTGAATGAATGTGGTTTATAAGACAGGCGAGCCGAAGTTCAAGGTGTCACGGCAGGACGGAGCCGAACTCTGTGATTTTGGGTCCATGTTTTTGCGTCTGCTCTGTACAGAACGGTTCTGCTGACCGAGCGGTTCTGTTGTGCCTCTGTTGTTGCAGGGTCGTCTCCCCGTGAAATGGATGGCTCCGGAGGCTCTGTTCGACCGGGTCTACACGCACCAGAGCGATGTGTGAGTTTGCACAAACCAGCCGTCACATGCCTCCAGCCCACTCATGTGGAGCTGCTGTACACTGAAGGAATCTGGGTGTTGAAATATCGTGACTGAGCGCGTTAGCATCAAAAGTCTGAGTTTGTGCGTGTGAATATGGAACCATAGCGTTCCCTTACCACATATCTGCTGCTCGCTGTCATCTGCACTCACTTGATAATCCTGAGCTTCTTGTGGCTCCGCATTCCTCACTGCGTTTGTTCTCTAATCTCCCACTGGAGATCAGAGGGAGACAGAAACACAACAGAGCCTCGACAACTTACTGTTGTTTTTGTCAGCGCAAATCCAGAGAACAGAGGCAGATAAGAGGGTCAATGGATTTATCACGTTTGATACGAGTAAATCCAATCCGTGGATGTATCACAAGGTGTTCACTCGGGGTGTTTTTCCGCAGCAATTCAAAGGTAGACAAACTCACCTTTTACAACCTCTGATTGCTCCTGCCAGGAGAATAAAGGCGCGATTAGGAGAGGAGGTCACAAAGTCAATCTGTGTTGCAGGAGCCGAACCCCCCCCCCCCAGCACAGCCATCCAAGCCAAACACGGGCCCCTGTCAACACGGGCTCGCTGTGTGATTACACTAGACTGGGAACAAGCCGAGAGGAGAGTCCGCCCGCTCTGTTGTTTCAGCAGGTCTGCATTGCAGTCAGCCCTGCCGCCAAACCTCCTCCTCCCTTTATACAGTAGTCACTCCGCAACCAGTTTACTCTCACACACCCCGGGGGACCCTGACTTCTGACCTGTGATCGTTTCTACTGAAATATGTTACTCTGAAGCAGACGGCAGACAATTAAAACACATTTAAACTTAAATCTATCACACAATCACAACAATAAGGTTTGTGTACTGCAGCTCTCAGGGCACAATTGGCATCTCAGCTCATGCAGCTTCCCAAGCATTGGCAGCTCTAGAGGCAGAACTTGCTGTAGGAACTCTCAGGGAGCCATTTATTTGGGGAATTTACACTTTATTTGTGCAAAGCAACTGTGCATCCAAAAGTTATGTGCGTCATGCCTTTATGATTCCAATCGAGACACAATTTAGACTCGAGTTCACTTTAAAAATGTAGATACCAGGCTTATTTAAAGTTCTACTATATTCATATATGACCCTAATATACATTTCCTATACAAATGTTTTCCTTCATTTTCAGTCTATTGCTGCCAATGAATAATGAAGTGTTTACATCTTGATTGCCTGTGTTGGAGATTTGGAGGGATAACTGGTCCGCTTTTCAAATCTCCGCGCGTTCCTATGAAGCTGGTTATAATACAGGAAGGAATCCATAGCTACAAAGTAACCGTTAACAATAATCTACTTTAATGGCAATATGACAATGCAATACAATCATTACAATACAACATGATATATTACAGTTATATTGCAATGCTTAAGGAGTAATGCCGGCTTACTCCTGCTCTAGTCCGCATACTGCAGAGCTACTTTCACCCGAGGGCAGCATGTGAAGAAGAGGCCGAACGCCAGGGATCCACCGGATATATACCAGAGTAAGAAGGAGGGGTTTGGTGTTAGGTCAGCTGGTCATCTTTTCAGGTCATCTCATTGGGAGACGCAACGCAGCAGGAAACGCAGCAGGAAACCAAACAGGCTCACTTTACAACAAAAGGTCTCAAGGCCTGCATACCTACACCTCCCCCAAAGAGCAATAAAACCCTGTTTACTCCAACCAGCCCAGAATGTTTATAGCCATTTGTAGTCCTTACATTTATGAAAGGATAAAACAGAGAAATCAATATAAAACACAAACACAGGTATTATTTGAACAGTATTCACTTAACTGCTACTGTTGATAACCACCAGAGAAACCCAAGGGACCTCTCTTAACCTCACAAACACTGCAGCTAGATCTAAGTTGAATGCAAATCAGGACATGCTCTCCCCTTCCCCCATCTTCCTTTGTCCTCAAAAACACATGTCAACAGGCCCCAAATGCAGCTCACAGTTTTACCCAAATTATTCTCATTTTAAGCTTATCCATAGTTTGCTAACATGAATAAATACAAATATAACTCTACAAATCCCCCTTTTTATCTCCTTCTCCAGAGATAAACTTAGACAAGGCATTTTGAAATATACCCACGGTCATTCTTTTCTACTGTGTCCGTAAATCCATCCGAAGCTGGTATTTAGAGTACTTGAAACCTTCATGGAGACCGAACACCACTTTCCATGGCAGTGAAGGAACCATGAGGGGGTAGCTGAGTGCTAGAATCATCAGCCCCCCCCCCCCGGAGGAATAGCCCACAAGGACAGCTAATAGGGAGGGGGAGATGCAGCTTGCCCTTCACGGGTAGAACTGATCAGAGCGAAGTAGACTCCTCTGCTGCCTCGACAAGTTCCCTGTGCCGTCCCGGCTTGCCGTGTCTTTGTCTCCCAATCCGCTGACGGCAGCTTCTGGGCTGCCTGCTAGAGAGATGTCTTCCTCCTCCTCGTTCTCCGGCCCGCTGATGGCGGCTTCCGGGTCGATGCTGTAGAGATGTCTCCAGGGTCCTCCTTCTCCGGCCCGCTGATGATGCCTCCCGGGTCGTCTGCTGTAAGGATGCCTCCAGGGTCCTGCTCCTCCAGTCTGCTGCTTCCGAGTAGTCCACGTCTGCCAGGGCCACGTCCGTCCTGATGTCGTCCCCTGGTCCTAGCAGGTGGTTTCCCCGCCGCACACTGGCTCCCGTGGTACGAGCTGTCCCCCTTTTCTCCCAGGCAGACGGCATAAGAGGTCCGCTGGGTCACTCGGTCGGGGTCGGAGAGCCTGGGGTTGAGCCACTTTGTCCTCGTGCTTCTCGGGTCCCCCTTTTGGCGCCAGTGACCTGTGTGGAGAAATCTGATACAACTCCCTCAAGCCTACGCTCAGCTGTTTTGACCCACTTGGAGCCTCTTGGTGGGGTGTCTTGAAACAACAGCCGTCTGTGAACAGGTTTTCTAAATTAATTGTAGACCTCCTATCTGCCAGTGCAGCTTCAGAATCTTAATACTTGGACTGTGCCAACTAAATAAGAACCTCAACATCTTTAGGTAAACTAAATAACATATTTCAATAGCTCTGAATTTCTGACAAGCATCCGTGTTTATTTTTAAATGAAATCCTATTTAAAATCCAAACATAATATGAACTGCTAATGTTTCTGGCAAAGAAACACACTAATGTTATGGATTCAAAAACAACCAAAATCACGATGCTAACAAAGTGAATGATTTCCTGGTGATACTGCTTCTACCTGTCAGTGCTTAGATATTATCACGCTGAAAAAATGAATACAGAATTCCAACAAACTGTCATCAAATGTCTTTCTATTATAAATTTAGATTAAATGTATATCCCCATAATGACCTAAATAATAAAGTATATGGCTTTTACTCCTTTACCAGGCTAGTTACAGGATGTTGTCTAAATTAAATTCTGTCTCATTACATTACTATGTTTTAGCTTAACTTAACTGTAATATGTTCTTTCTACATTTCAAACCTCAGTTACTCTAATGTCTGTTAAAATATTACAAAATTGTTTCATTATCACAGGTCAACTTCTTCGGTTTCACAGTAGCCCCTTGGCCACTGCTTCTTTGTTACCTGTTATAATTCAAATCAATATTTAGAAACATCTCAACCTTCATCAAACAGTATCTTATCCCCAGATATGGAGCAGGTTAATTACATTCAATGCTCAATCCTTAAAAGAAAAATGTAAATTGTGAATTTTACAGCCATGTTGACATTTATACATTATACTCACTCCCCCCTTTTACACATGAAATCATGTGTAACAAAAGCCTGTAATGGGAGGGGAACAAAAACTGTCAGGTAATTGGTTAGGAACATAACGAACATTATTATCATTATTTCCACAGTGAACACTTCAGTGAAAAGAAGTGTTCCTCTCCGTCCTTCAGGCCTAAAAGAAACAGAATCTTCAGATTGTAGTTTTACATTTGCAAACCGCCAACTCATGTGAGAGGAAAATATCACATGTGCGGTTTCCCCTTTTTGTGGAATTTTTAGGAAACCTCTCGTTTCCCTTGGAGCTCCAAAATAATATGTTAGTCCAAAAACATGCTTGGTTGGTTATTGTTTTAGAATCATGCAGTTACACTGATCACATGCCGGCATTCATTCACACTCACACTGTCTGGTTGTCATGTCAAGTTTGGTCAGGTTCACCCCAGAGTCAGTCATCCACAGTGCCTTGTCAAGTTACACTGTCGGTCAGGGTCAAAGGTCAGTTGGTCTCCGTCTTTTTTGGCCATGTGTCGTGCTCTGCAGAGACTTTGACATTTCAGCATAGGCCAGTATCCTTTGTCTACAAAAATATGTCACGATTTCAACTATAATTTTCAAGATGATTCTCACTTGTCATTGGGACTTCCGCCTCCCACTTTTCCTGAAACTTGGTACAAAACTCACTTCCTTCGAGTACCACTACTAATTAAAATGTCTAATGATCTATTTCAGAAACTTTTGTACAATAACTATTATCTTGAGTCAAAACATTACTAGGATCTGTGTCGCTCTGCATTTCATAGCTCATTATAATTCTGGTCTACTTAAAAAACAATGATAAACTCTTTAGCAGTGTGTGGAACCTTGGGTGTCCGAACATGCAACAATTACTCCCTCCTTTATCAAGGATTTAAAACCGAAGTCTGGTAATAACTATGCCACAATGGTGAAATCAACACTTTAGATTGGAATTTAATATGTGGCTTGGCACTAGCCATTAATACAAACAAAGATTTGTCCTATAGAGTGGTTCCTAAAACTATCCTTATAATGGTGATCAATATTGTAACCAATGAGATCACTACTTTATTCACACGTGAATAAAAATGTCTTAAAGAATGATTTGTTAACATGATGAAAATATTGAAGAATATGGTTCTACTCTGTCAGTGTGTTTTAGGATGATTATCATCTTACTTTAATAGTTTCCTCTTTACTGCTATTTTTAATTTACCAAATGATTAATAAATCTTTCTGTCTTTACGTATTTATGAAGTTAATTCAAGTTATTTAAATGTGCGTTTCGTGAATAAGTGTGTTTATGTGTAACTCACTCATTCCCGTTCTCCTTTCCTCCTCCCCTGGTTTTCTCAAGCCGTGACCCCGGCCTCCTCACTTCTAATCGACCATGCCAACTCCTCTGATTCTGTCTTCTCTTCAGTCCATCAGCTGTTGAATCCATCCGCTGTAACTTTTGTAGGCCGCCATTGGCCCAGTCACATCTGCAGCCCCATCATGCCACTGTTGTTGCACTCCTCCTTTACAGTCTCTCTGCTGTTTTTATGGAGGGCGGATTCTGCTCTCATGTCTATTGTGCCAAATCTCGCAGCGCAGTTTGGAACTTCATGTCCTGTTTGAGGGACCGATGAGAGTATCTCTCTGTATGTCAGCATGCTGGTTTGGTTCTGGATGCCACAGGTGGAGATAGTTCTGGCTGCAGTCTTGATGTAGTCTTGTTGTTGTTGTTGGTTCAGCTCTGGTTCTCTGTCTGTACGATGGAGAAGGAGGAGTCTCCTGTTGGGTTAGGTCTCGTTGTCTGCTTGGAGGGTCGGGATCAAAGCCTTTCTAACTCAGAGGGGGAGTCCAGGTCCCGGTACACATTACCTATAAGAAGTCTAGCACACTGATGTTAAATAAATCCAACCCTTTCCACTCTGTCTCTTTCTAATCATACTATCTGTCTTATTAGCCGCCTGATAGATGATGAAAATTCATTTTTAGCACTGAACATAAACTGATTCCTGTGGTCGCCTCTGAAACGGGCCTGAACCTAAACTGACCCTCAAGATGTCCTTTGTTCACGTCGAGTTCAGTTGCATCGGCGGTTATTCTTAACTCCCAATTCTTTCCTCAGTCCCCTTTATTACCTCTGAATATTGATGTCTCTCTTTCACTCTCGCTGTTTGGATGGAGGACTAGCGAGCCCTCTGGACCGGAGCGTGGAAAATTAGATTAAGTCCACTGGGCTCCTGGAGGAGGGGTCTGATTCTGAGTCAGAGGACTAACGGGCGAACAATAGTACACTGGGTTAATAGACCACTATTATCTGATTAGGAATAATGCAGCAGTTCACTGGAGCTGCTGCCACAAAGACAGACAGAAAGAGAGAGGAGGGCTCGGGTTAGAGGTGCACCATAGCAGCTGGACTGTAACTGTAGATACAGCAGAATAAGTTCCTCTATTCATGCTTTGTGCTCAATTTAGGTCACTGCTTGTAGGTGTTTTTGGAAACACTGTGCTCCTCAAGATACATTATGTTCCCAAAGATTTTTCCAATTTTTTTAAAACTGAGCTTTTAAAACCAAATAAAGATGATTAAATCTCTTTTTCTTAGGAGTGCACTGTCCTTTTGAGCAAGCATGGCCAATTAAGGTACTCAAAAATGGATGATAGCCACGTTTTTACATCCACATTTGGAGACTCAGTGGATTTAATTAAAAACAAGGAGATATGTATGTATGTGTTTTTCACATTACGCTGCAGCTCATACTGGCCCAGTTTCAAAGGATGCTGACAGTGATGTTTTTATTTAACTGATGAAACACCAGCAAGATACATCAAAGCAAATATACTGCTGGTATACTATGAGCTTTTTTCATTTGGTATACAGTTGTAGAGGTGTATTATTTGTATATATTTGTGCAGATTAGCCCTTAATGAATAAAGATGGCAATATTTGATAGCCTTATATATCTTCTTAGACTGTTCCATAGAGCTCCATTGTTTTCCAAAAAGTATTGATAACACATTAGCACTAGGTCACGTATGTTATAACTCACTTTATTTCTGCCTCAATCCCATAATTACCACGTCCTTCTGCACACAATACTCACACGTTCTGAAAATAGTCTCCAACAATATTTTAATTCGTAGTTTGTAATGAAAAATAGAGTAATTAGCAAATTGAGTAACGGCCCGTCCACACAGTGGCGTGCGTTGAAAGCTTCACCATTCACTTTGAATGGGGTGACGTCACTTTTCGCCGAACTGCATTGTGGGAAGCGTAGCGGAGCTTTGCTGGCGTGGCTCGCTGCAAAAGTTGAGCAATGTTCAACTTTTGAAGCCTCGGCAGAAGCGTCAGCCAATCGAATCATATGCCAGTACAAGCTCTAGCCAATCAAACCGCTGCTTGTGTGTCAGGGGCGGGAGATTCATGTGATTGGTTGTTGGTCGAGTTTTAGACACGCCCGCCGGCAAGCTTCAACGCACGCCGCTGTGTGGACGGGCCGTAAGTCATCTCACCTCTGTATCTATTAAAAAAAGGAAAATCTCTATTCTAATTCTTGACAATGATTTTTGACTTCTCCTTTGTTTTGAAGGACGAGTTTCTACAAATATTGTATATTGAGTGCCCGAGACAATAGGAATGTCAACTTCAATCTTAAATTGAGCGCAGTAAACATTATTGAGAATCAATATTTTCCCCCAAACCAGATTCATCTGTTTATCTGGGGAACACACCTCCTGACTGCTTCAGGGCATGAGTGCAGTTTGACCTCTAAATCTGTATTCATCGTGTGTGTGTGTGTTTGTGTATGTGTGTGTTCAGGTGGTCCTATGGGGTGTTGTTGTGGGAGATCTTCACTTTGGGAGGCTCGCCGTACCCCGGTATCCCAGTAGAAGAACTGTTTAAGCTGCTGAAGGAGGGACATCGCATGGACAAACCTGCCAACTGCACGCATGAACTGTAAGTGTTTTTCTGAATTATAGTCAGTTATAGGAAGAAATGTAGCAGGAGGCGGCTTAGTGCAGATAAACCTGACCTGTAAATACCTCAGTGCATTCACGTTAGGAGATTGTATGCATTCTGTACTCATTTATTGTTGTTTACTAGCAACAACTTACCTTCAAAATGTGCAAAAACGTTTAGTACATTTGAATTACCCATGAATTTGAGGTTGGAGACATTAAAATGTCAAATTAAATCTGATTTAAAATACTTAAACATAGCTATTCATTACATAAGTACTTTGAGATCCATCGATCACCATACATCAGCAGCTCATTTTGGTTTCTCCTTATTTCTGTGGCTATCGTAAGATGTCTTATATTACTGTAAACTGCGGTGTCATCTTGCAGCTGGAGAAAATGAAAAATAGTAAAAACCAAAAATGATGAGCCTTTACTTTGCTTCAACCGTAATTACAGAGCATCAGCCTCCAGCTGCAGATCAAGTAGACCTATACGCTGGAAACTGTCCATCTGAGATCAGCCTGTTGTAGATTCATATTTTATATTTAATGGACGCGTTGCAGAGAAACTGAAGCTTGATATTGGTTGTTTCAGGTACATGATCATGAGGGAGTGCTGGCACGCGGTGCCGTCGCAGAGACCGACCTTCAGACAGCTGGTAGAAGATCACGACCGGGTTTTATCCATGACCTCCACCGACGTAAGTCTCTCTGCACAGCGGCTGCTCGCTCACAACAGGAAGGACACAAAATGTACCTGTAGTTTCACCTTGGACCATTGTAACTTTTTCATAAAGCCTCACCTAGCTTCAGACACATTTCTTAACACGTTATATAATTTAAAGTCATAGGTTGTTTAATGCAACTTTATTTACTGCAGTTTGACAGATTTCTCAGTTGTATGACTGGAGTTCAATCTGGAATTAAGTCAAAATGTTATTTCAGGAGTTAAAGGATTAGTAAATTGTAAAACAGCCATATATTCTGGAAATGTGGAAAGGTTTTAGCCCTATAAAAATATGTTTTGAGATCTAAACAAACACTTATTTGGCTTTGATAGCTACAATTCGACGCAAATGTAGTTAATGTGATGGGTTAGCTATTTGCCTAATATCGTATTTGATTGAACTAATTTATTGCGCCAATTTCAACATGAATGTTTTTTTTAATATTTTAGAAAAACTGATAAGAAAGGGATTTTGATAGATGAAGACTTCAACATGTTTTAAACACATGCTCAGCTGTGTCTTTAAAACGGGAGGTTTTTTGTTTAACAGTATTGTGTTATTTAAACAAGTCAGGGTTAAAAAAGAACACATACTGTAGAACAACACTGATGTCAAATAAATATGCAACTTAGTTTAGAAAGAAACACATGGAAATACAATCATAAAACAGTGGTTAGAGTTTAGTATCATGCTCTGTTGAACCCACTAACATTCTAAAGAATACAGGTGATGATACAGAAATATTATTTAATTCCTCGCTTATTTATGTGACCACAGAGAGGATTGACGGTCTAACCTCTGCCCTCTCCTCTGACAGGAGTACCTGGACCTGGCGGTGCCCTTCGAGCAGTACTCGCCCACCTGCCAGGACTCAAACAGCACATGCTCCTCGGGAGACGACTCGGTGTTCGCCCACGAAGCGCTTCCTGAAGAGCCCTGTCTTCCCAAACAGCTCCCCAGCAACGGGGTGATAAGGACATAAAATCTGAGCTTGGAGAGGGGGTTGGACTTTAACCTCCTCTCACAGTTTGCGATTAACCTCTCAGTGACTCCTCGAGATTTGGAAACTCAGCATGCAATACTTCCACAGTGCTTCAGCTCTTCGATTCGTCTTAAATCTTCTTTGACTGAGTTGTCCTCCTCCTCCTCCCCAACAGACTCTTGGAAACATTGAAGGATTATTTTTTGAACCATGTTCTGAAATTATATTTTTGTACTCGGGCCAGTCTTTTCTTACGGACAATCTGTTGGGTGAAACCATTCCGTGCCTACTGGGATAAATAGACCTCCTGAGATTGACTTTTAAAAATGGATATAAGAGGAGGAAGTGAAGGGCATTGGTCAGTGACTGCTTTGCGATCCAGTAGGCGAGGACCTCAGATTTGTATCCCCTCGTCTGCGCGGAGCCCTCAAATCGTGATAAAGGTTTGGGAATCCGTTGACAAGAAACCAGCAAAGCCAGAATCAACTCCACGATGGGACTCTTTCCTCCCAAGACCCTTTTCTATTACAGAAGAGCTCAACAACAGAGAGGATCACATGAGCATGTAACGTGTTTTTCTCATCAATCTGTACAACCTTTTAGCATCCCGACAACAAAAAAAGGTTTTGTGATAATCATGAAACAAATTCCTCATCAAGCGTGAGGTGAAGTTTCAGGGCCATTCAGTAATTAGTAAAATAAGGTTTAGAGTTTGTTTATGTATGTAGAAAAATGATTTATTGTAAATATATAAATGCAAATATGTATCATATTGCTGTTTACAGCCATGTACTTAAAAGACAAAAAATTACATTTTCTTAAAGTATTGTTTTTAGGAAGCAATCTAGAAGACACTGTCATGAAAGTGTAAATCATTTAATCATTTAAAGTGATACAGAAAAGGTTTATTTGAATAATTAACGTGTATATTTGTAAAGATATTTATAGACTTAACATGTGGTTTCTTAAGTTGGAAAGGTCTAGTTTAGGATTTTAGTACTGTACGCAAAGATTTTATTTCTTTTTGTAACTTATTTTACAACAGAACTGCAACGTTTTTTCACAGACTCCTCTGGTTTTAGATCCATCTTTGTTATTATTTTTCTGGGCAGTTTTTGAAAAGAAAATAAGAATGTATAAGAGAAGGGAAGATGGTTATTGGGCGGGAGAGTGATTCGACCGCCAGAGGAGGACTGGGGAACTGAAGGCTCCCGCTGAAGGGCAGCCGGACGTTTCCGCTGAGTTCAGATTCTGATTTGAAAAGTTGACGTTTGCAATATCAAGCAACGATTAGCTCTTGCTGGGCAAGAAATGGCAGCGCTTCAAGATATGTACAGAGAGGCCTTTTAGTACGAATCAAGTACTTTAAGACATTTTGAACACCCACAACAATTTGCTGTGAAACATGAAGAGCCTTCAGAGAACCTCAGCCGCCTTTTAAAGAAAAAATCCTTCGACTAATGTTTCATTTCATTGTAATGTCATTACATTTGAGAATAGACACAACTTTAGTTATAACTGCATTTCCCAGAATGATTTTTAGCTGAAATTTGAAAACATGCAAGTTTTACCCACATTTTTGTAAGAGCCACCAACTACAAAGAAAATTGACCATGACATGGCTCTCCCCGAACCTAATCTGCATTATTGTGCAATGCATTCTGGGATTTTGAGTCCAGTCAGTGGCGCAAACCGTGATCTGTTCCTTTTTGAGAATCACACATAATTGATGATTATCGCTCCTTCTGAGCCTCAACACCACATTCTGACATTGACCTTTAACACCCAAGAATACATTATACGACAAAAAGGACCCAGGAATGCACCTTCACAATTATCTTTTACAGAGTTAAAGCATTTATAGATGGATATTTTTCTTTTAAAGGTAGCTCTGAAGGCTTCAAACTCTTTTATTCTAACGGAAAGGTCACAGGGTGGATTCTAACAAGCTGCATGCGGTGTCAAGGTGCCCTTGAGCAAAACACTTGTGAATTAAAATATCAGCTTGAAGGCAGAGGTGTGAAGCTGTTATGTCCGTTTGTTCGAGAGAAAAAAACCTGCCCATACGCTTGAGATTTTATCGCTGCTCTATAGTATTAATACTGAAATGAAGGCATGCTGTGCGACTTACGAGTCAAACAGCAAAATATATATATATTATATAAACAGTATATATCAGTTTGTTTACCCTGAAGTATGTGGTGGATCCTGAGCTTAGTTTGCAAAAGTGCCAAATTAGTCTTAAAAGTCTATTTCTCCGAGTTCATCAGATCTCTGAACCGAACGCTGCACTGTGGAATGTAGGCGGGCGGAGGTTACATGTGCAGGGAAGGATTGCCAAATGGATATCTCCCCTTCTTTTTATGCAGTCGTTTCTCCAGCTGACCCCAAGAAAGTGAAAGGGTTGAAACGTTTACAGAGTCTGAATTTAGTCACAAAAGGGAAAGCGACGTTTGGAAAAGCAGACATTTGAAGGGTTCAGAAACACGATTCACTCGCTGCTAAATGGAAACGGTGGTAACACTTTACTGTGCAATGGCCTTATTCTAGTGTGTGAACTGAATTTTTGCAGAGACATTTATTGTAATTACCCAACAAGACTGTCTCAGTACTTAATGAAATCCCCACCAATGTTTAAAGTACTTAAAAATCTGTATTTATTTCTATTCCTACACTGGGAGATTTTTAATTTTTAGCACCAATTTATGTGATTTTTCATTGGTTTATGCACAAAAACAAGGCCTTTGTGAAGTGAAAGGTTACACCCAGTTATTGTTATTTCTGTCTTGAGTGCAGTTTTGGCCCAAATCTATGAAGTGCCTGGAATCATTTAGCGAACAAAAAGGAGATTAATTGATTTATTTTGACCATGTTTTGATTGTATCATTTGCAAAATATAAAAAAAGATAAAAGAAGCAGTTCTCTCTGGAAGTAAGTATTAGCCTTTGAAAGACAAAAAGGCACTTGTGTAAAGGTTGGATGGATCTAATGAAACGCTGTTTTGTTTTATTTATTCTTCCATGCTGGGTAAAAGCTTTCCCTATGGTGAAAGTATTTGTTGTTCATAGCTTTTCAGTGTTTTTTCATTAAAGAGCCAGAACATGATGATGAGAGTAGTCTTTTTATCAGATACTGATCAGGCTTTGCTCCTGTCTTCATCTATCCTTTTATTTTATTTTTATTTGGATGCCCTCCTTTGCCTTTTTTTTTATTCTATCAATCTTTCTTTGACTCTGAGCCTCTGTCTCTCTGTTCTTCATTTTTAAAAGGATGTGTTGTTTTTAACATTTGTGTTGTTAATGGCAGCAAAAGTAAAGCACTGTATTTTCCAAAATGCAATATATTCTATCTTTTATAATAGACAAAATCGCAGCCAAGACCTGAAATGATGGACTTTCCTCGAGGTAATTCAAAGCAATTTTCAAACAAATGAAACTTTATCTTAAGCCTTTAAAGGATGTCCTGGCTTATGGATTGTTGCCATCCTATTAAAATCACAAATCTCCAAAGTGGCAGCTTTTTACTAAGGAAGAAGGAAATACAGTTGAATATGAAGCGTAGGTTTTTCCGCATGTCAGACTCATACATGTACATAAATCTGCTTAGAAAACCTGATAAAAGACGTCCCTCATGGCTCCAAAAGAATTGGCTTGTTTTTAAGTTTAATTAAGTAACAAAGTAATACTATTCTAACGTACATCCATGACAAACTAGAACTGAGCCAATTCGTTACTTTTAATAAGGCCAATTTGCCAAAATGTAAAGAAATATGAAATAAAAATCTTCAAGCGTCCGATGGCTTTCCCTTGGCAACTATTCCCAACTGTTGCTAACGATTGAAAGCCAGTGTTGCTAAGATACGGCCAATCAATTCCAATCGGAAGCTTTCTAACATTAGCACTGATTCACACTAGGTATTCGTTTTGATATATGATATTTCGACACCGAAATCGGACAGAAAGAAACAGGATACAGTTGTGTTCTAGAAAATGAAATATGTTAAGCTATATATATAAACATTTCCTTTGAGTTAAGTTGATGCTTAACCAATTTCTAAAACAGAAAATGTGGAGGTTTAATTTTTGAGTCTGGTGCAAATATGTCAGTATTGTGTTGCCCAACAGACAGATGTTAAAAACAACACATTTATTTTATGAGTGAACATGTTTTCTTTGCTATTGAATGATTAAACAGCATGGCCTCAGCAGGGAGCGACTCTTACTGTATGTACAGTCACACATCGGCCTTTACCCACCTGTTGTCTCTACTCTGACTGACTTATTTATTCTCTTTCTGCTCAACAAAAGAAAAAAATCAGGATTGAAAATGAAATTTGGAGGAGAGGGCTGTTATCTCGGCTTCGTTTGGTGTCACAGATATACACCTTTCCTTCCAGGGATATCAACTATTCATATTTCACATGTTTTTATTGGTTTCACACGGTTTTTCATCCCATTTTCATTTTGTCATGCCGTTCTAACCCAACAATGTTAGTGCAGATTAATTTATAGTTTGAAATATGCTTTTACGTTGCTGAGTTAGTTTTATGTAGCTATTTTTGAAAGAACTATAGAGAGGAAATGATTTTCATATACATTTATTTCATTTTGCAATCCACATCAGGTTTTGTCTTTTTTTCCCCCAACCCCACATCATGAATTGTTCGTCCCTCTGAACTCATGTTTCTAACATAGAAAGGTGAAACTAACCATTTGGCATTATGTGAGTTTTTTAGTTGTTGTAATTCATAGCTTCATGCTTGTTTGTTGCAATGTACCTGTTTTGATCATGATGAACGCTCTGTAACATTCCACCACAAAGAACCCTCTGGGCAAACATCTCCCACTGAGGGGAAAAACTACAATTTCACAACTCTCTCTCAGTCTCTCTATCTCTCTCTGTGCCTGACAAACTATGCTGTCACAAGGTTTTCAATAAACATGTTATAATAGCGTTTGCTGTCATTGCTCTGTCTATCACTGAGATGCATGCATTTGGAAAAACAAACAGATCCTGTGACAGAAACAAGTCCAACAAAAACCCAAACACTTTGGTGAAGAAATCTGAAGTTTTTGGAAGTTTATGTAAATGAGATGAAACTCAAATACCACAGAATACACACAACAGTGAGTTTATTTTGCAAAAGTGTCTCGGTTTGTTTCGTCTGAACTATTTGTCAGTGCGGTCGTGGAGTTGGCAGCTTGTTTTCCTTCTACACAAACTAACGGTGGGTGAAAACTGAATACAAACAAGCTTTGGACATGGATGGCACACATGGTAACAAGACTAACTGTCTACGTGCTTGCTGTAATGTGAGACTGCTCTTAGACATTGCACTGCTTGGAGCTAAATGCAAACATGCTAATGTTTAGGGAATACCACATCAACAAAACAACCATTTGTAAATCATTTGTTTACCTCGTGCTACTTTGAATTCTTGAAGAAAACTTAGATTTTCTGCCATGACTTCACAGTAAATAATGGAGATAGGTCCACATATTCCTAGCCTCATTAATCAGAACGTATGCTCTCTACTCTTCAAACACATGCATCTGCGTCATAAACCTTACTGAACTTTCTGAAAACTTTTTTGTTTGTGCAGGTGTTCTATTTGTTTGTATAAATGGTTTCTCTAAAGCGTTAGGGTTACTCATTGATCATTTTGGGAGTGAAGTATTCGTTTAGGTAGGAAAAAAAAACGTTTCCTAATTTCCTAATTTAGTCCAAAGCTAATGTCTTGGACAAATACAAAATGTTTCTGAGGTAGTTCTGACTAGAAGTCGTAAACCAAATGTCCTCAATGTCAACCTCATGGTGATGATATAGTTAACGTCAAGTGATCCCCAAAGATGCTAGGAATCATCATCTGGGGACCGAATTGTCACAGGACTCCAACCAATAGTTTTTGAGATGTTTTGAGTGTGGTATAAAGTTGTGGATGGACCATCCCCAGAGCCATGCAAGTAGTATGACTAAAAATAACCTTGGCTCAAAGGTCAACTTAGTAGTAGAACGTTCAACCGTATCTTTCTCTGGCCGTGCATGTAAACAAAAGGAAGCCACATTAAGGCTTTATTTCCTGTATAAAGACTTTAACTTGCAGCTGAAAGTTGTCTACCTGAACCACGACTGGGCTAAAGGCAACCAGAAAGAACTCCAGAAAAATACTTCCTCTGATCTGCCAAGTATCTTCTTTTAAGTCAAGTATTTTCTTAACTCAGTACTGTAGTCTCATGTGGTGTGTTATGAAAGTCACTTCAAACCAATTTTGTTTGTATCAATCTCTAGGCATTTAGCATACTTGAGTTATATACTGGTTCTCCGTTTCACACACACCTGCCTGCGAATGGCTCATCACTTCCCTCAGCTCTCCTTCCTGCTCATCATATTTCAACTGAAAAATAATTATGCAATTACATGATGATATTCATAAAAGATGCATTGAGGTAAAACCTGAATTGGATTTAGATATAGGTATAGGAGCTATAATTCTAAATAGAGGCAGTATTCTCCTTTAAATTGCAGCAGGAAATGCAGGCGGCACAGATGTTTGCCCCCACTTCCTGTTGATTCTGTCCCACAGTGAACAAATTAGCCTCTCATAGCGTCTTAACTGCTCTTTAATCACGGAAAGTCTTTACCCCTCCGTCTTTGTTTGTTGAGTACAGTTCCACGCCCTCCCTCGCCGCCTCGCTGGCTGCGGCTCAGTAAACGGCTGGTGGGAGGGGAAGGAGCAGGCTGCGGGGAGGGGGTATTTGTGGGGATACTGAAGCCACTCGGGCCCCGGGTGTGAGGGCAAAGCTGGACAGTGACAGAGGGAGAGAGAGGGGGTCTATGTATTCAGGCTTTTGGCCCTCAGCCCGTCTCAAGTGCGTCCTGAGGAGGGGAACATCCTGCCCCTCGTTGGAACTTCCTCGGCCGGCTGAAGTGGTCCATTCATGGAGGTCTTGTGAGGGGGGCTTGTTTTCCCTGCTAAATGGATGTTTCTGTTTCAGAGGTGTTTGCGCTGGTGGACACTTTCCATTCCTCCTCCTTCTCCTCTCTCCTTCCCATTCCCCCTTTTCCTCCTTCTCTTTCCCCCAATTATTCCTCCCCACTCCCCTCTCTGCTTACCATTGGCTGCCGGGCAATCAAACTCCCTCTTTAGGCTGCTGTTCAACCTTAAAACCACCTCTAGCTGACCAGAGGAGGAGGAGCTGGAGAGGAGGAGGTGTGGCTCCACAGTAACTATAAATTGATATGTTAGTGATACACCAAGTTTAGGGGTACTTTCTTCTTGCTGTGTCCTGTCAATTTCTTCAAGAAATGACAACACAGGTTGCTTATAGCAAAGGGCTGCATTTTTTTTTCTTTCACCAATGAAAGCAATGCAAATGTACAATGATGAGAAAACAAACAGAAAACATTTTTAGCAAGCCAAACCTCTGCAAATATGCGTCCTTCAAACATTGCTGAGAACATAAAACCATTTGCAGGTCTTGTTAATGTGTCATACTACAACCCAGTCTCATGACATTTCGTGTTCACCAACACGATTTTTAATCTATTGATTCGTGTTCACCAACACAATTTTCCCCTTTTTTTCGTGTTGCACAGCACGATTTTAAAAGTAATGTATTTCTACTGGTAATGTGTTTCGTGCCTGCAGCAAGTCTTTTTCTCCGGTCGGGTCGTGGAAGACCGGAAGCTGTGGGGTTCATAAAAACATGTTCTTACTCAATATCAAGCCACAATTATTGCTTTTATTTTTAAATCGTATAATTTCGGACTTTTGTTGCCGGTCTGTGAGGAAAATAAATGGGGCTCAGAGCCTCAGGATACTGAAATCTGTATTTTTAAATCTTTTTTTCCTTCTAATTTGTTATTCTTTTCAAAATAACACACTGTTATTTACTCACCAATAACACACAATTATCCTTGCTTTTATTTATTGGTTTAATTCCATAATCTCGGGCTTTTTTGGCGTCCGTCAGGAACTACATTTCAAAATAAAAATAACCGGAAACAGACGTAGGCATTTCGAGCGATTACCCAAGATCCTCAGCTATGGTTTAAGCTCGCTGATTGGATGTTTTAGCCGCAATGCATGCTGGGATTTGGTGTTTATATTATATGAAATCCGGAAAACATTTTAAAATAATACTTAATTCCAAGTGCTCTTGCTTTTCTCTTTGAAAGTCATCACATAACGGCATTGTAATACACGGTCCGGCTGCATTACATATTACCGCCGTAGTTCTTTATTTATAGAGCCCTGATGAGAAGACCTTTGGAAAAACTGAAGAAATGCCGCCGAAACTGAATACTTGACGTGGATCATAAATATATCAACAATTAAACAACATCTTCAATTTCTCTTCACACAATACGTCTCCTTGCAGTATCAACACTAATTCGGCTGACTTTTACATTTGATTTAATTCATAGATAGGTTATATTTAATTTACACCATAACGGTGCACAGCTGATATAAAAGGACTTGTAGTTTTTAAAGATATTACTGATTTTCTTTGAATGTAAGAATGTAAATACTGAGTCTGAAATAGTATAGCAATATGCTGTAAAATTATGTGAAAGCATGAATAAAACTACACATCTTCAGATGTTGTACATACATAAGTGTCCTACACTAATAATACAAAGTTATTATGGCTGTGTGGTACCTTGTGTGCACCGCCTAGTGGTTAAAGCACGATATTGAATTATTGTTTTTGTGTGTTATATTTGATTAAAAAAATATTAAGAGTACATACTTTCATAGGGGGAAAGTAGAAGGTCTGTGATAGAAATATAGAATATAAAAAATCAAGAAGATACTATAAGTGATCTCTACAATAAAAACAGGTTAGTGCAGGATGTACAAAGATATTAATAGGAGGTGCAAAACAAAAAAACGAATTAACCTTTATTTAAACATTAAATAACAGATTAAGGTCTTCTTTTAAATAAGAAAAAAACGTTATATCTATCTACAGATAAATATAAAGCCTGACAAAGTACTTAACGTCTAATATATTGCTTTCCTGCAATGTTAACTATGTTGAAGCACTTATTTTAATATACATATGAATTATACTCTTATGTATGTAGATAGAATAAGAAATGTGCAGAATATGACACTTTAATGGTGGAGGTTGTGAGGAAGCGCACACACTCCCTCACTAACATGTTGGTCTTAACTATTTGTTTGTTACTGATTACTGATAGTGGAATTGTTCCACATAGACATGTAGTAGATGTCACTGTAAATGGTCAATCAGTGAAAGCCCTAGCTGACACTGGTAGTTCACAAACCTTGGTGAAGTCCAGCTTACTTAGCAATGCAATAGCTGATTTTGATGGCAGGGTAAATATCACATGTGTTCATGGTTGTAAAAAAGATTACCCAACTGCAGATGTTATCATTGAGGTTGAAGGGCAACCCTTTATGCTACCTGTTGATGTGCTAGAGCACCTAGCTTATGACGTGATCCTTGGAGATGATTTGCCAATCTTAGACCACTTGGTACAGCAAAACTCACTAGCGTACTCCTATGTAGCTACGCGCTCTATGACTAAGGGGTTAGAACCTTTACCAGATGCAGATGATAGTTTGTGTGAAGGGGGTGATAAGCTTAAGAAAACAAGGCGACAGCGCCGTCAAGAGAAAAACAGAAATCACGATAAGGCTAAATGCCCTGAGCTTACTCTCCCTGTAACTCCCCTCATAGAGCCTCAATGGCAAATCCCAGATAACTTCCGAGAGAGTCAGGAGAATGACCCATCTCTAAAACCTCTATTTTCAAAAGCAGGCAAAGTAGATGGGGAGGAAGATGCACACACAGGGGGGCTGAAAAATCTAATTGGGGATCCCTTCATCATAAAAGACAACCTTTTGTATTTGGCAGACATACAGAAACCTAGGCTAGTCATTCCTAAAGAGTTTCGCCAAGTAATCCTGCATGTGGGTCATAC